AATTAGAATTAACCCTTACAGGTGTGTGCAGCGGAGAACAAGATGTCTCAACAGGGAGGTGATGAAGATCAGTGGGGATGGGTGGATGTTGAGAAAGAAGTGTTTTCACTTGGGGAAGGCTCGACGGTGCTGAAGGATATAGATCAAGTCCCGAAGCTAAGAGAGCGAGGATGATGTCAACAGGGATGCAAAGGATGGAAGTCATTGAAGGGGAGGAACTAGAAGAGATGTCGGAGGATCTGAAGTCAGCAGAAATAGAAGATTACTACAGACAAGAATTTGAAATGCCTAATGAGGTTTTTCGAGAATCTTATATGGAGATCGCACGAGAGTTAGAGGCGGCACTAATCGAAGAATACTACAAGCAGGAATTTGAGATGACAAAAGACACATGGAAGTCAGCATATGAAGTCCACATCGAAGACCATGAATCGACTCCTCAAGAACATGTCCAAAATAACAAGGGAAGACGGAATGGGTACAGTGCAGGCACGTCCACCGAGACCCAAGTGATAACACACTCATCCTCCACTAGATAAGCATACATGGAGGGAACGTCGACATGAATGGGAAATACGAACGGAGGAGTTAGTAGTTTTAGGGCTACTAGATTTTAGGAAAACTGTGCAGCCTTAAATAAGGTCCGAACGCCAGGTACGTATGGGTTCTAACTCATCGTTGGGTGATTGTGTGTTGATTGCTTGCATTGTGGTTGATAGCTTTGATCGGGGTATCATTGCTTTAGGGTTTTATATTTTATGTTGCTAGTACTCGGACCATGCTATCTCAGCAACAGTTTGGAGGTTGGACTGTTGTAGTGTGGAACTACCAGTCATAGGGAATTTTGTGTTTGTTGGGAGAATTTTTATTCTAAGGAATCATCATTCTTGTCTAGATTAGGAATTGCCTTAGGTGTAGGAATTCTTAGGATCTAGATAGAACCTAGGTAGATAGGAAATTTTAAGATTTTACTATCTAGACCTAGGGAAGGGGATTATGATAAGGGTGGAAGAAAAGGTGGATCAGTCAAGACAACGGAGGTCAACGAGAAAAGATCAAGATGGGCCAAGAGATAAAGAAGGGGAGACGACATCAACAAAAGCGCCGAGTCTAGTCAGAGATGAGGAGGTCAAGATCAGTGAGAAGAAAGCCAACAGTAGTGGAACATTTCCATATACTAAAAAGCCAAGAAAAAGATCAGATCAGACCAAGTTCTATCAAAGCCGAAGAAAGAAAGCCAAAAGCCAAGGGAGGAGAATGAAGGCTATTAAAGCCGAGAAAGCCAAAAGCCAAGAAAGAATGAAGAAACTTGAGATAGTGCCTAGTCGAAAAGGTGGTATCTCAAGGAGGAAAAAGTAAGAGAGGAGGTGGTATCTTGAGAAGAAAATATGATAAGGTGGTATCTGAAGAAGATGATATCTGAAGAAGGTGATATCTAGATTGCTATCAAGCCAAGGACCCAAAAAGTGGAATCTAGAGTATGATAAAGCCAAAGATCATTGGAACAAGAAGCCAAGTGATGATGTCAACACAAGCCAAAGGAGTCAAGGCAAGAAGATGATGAAGAAGAAATGGAGAAGCCGCAAACCAAATACAGAAGCACAAGAAGTTGACTTAGAATAAGAGATACTAGAAGGTGGATTTGAAGATGGAAGCATTCTTCACAGAACGAAGACGAAGACAACAAGAAGACCAAGGAAAAGAAAGCATTCCACAAGCACAACTGGAATGGGATCTTTTTAGGATTGTAGGAGAAGGTGGTTAGGAGTAGAAGTTGGTATCGAAGAAGGTGGTGATTAAGAAGATGATGACAAGGGTGATATCAACATCAGCAACAATGGCGAGGAGATCACACCATAC